TAGGAAGAATTAGGAGAAATGCCAGTCTCTTGTGAGATCTTATTCACCTAGTACTCTTGGCAGCCAAGGGCAAGACCCACTGTCATAACACTGTGCGAGATGGATGTGCTACTTCCTTTGTCCCAGTCATTGTCAGGCTCTTAGTGTCCGAGATATTCTGTCATCACACTTGTGTTCTCTAGATCCCTAACCAGACCCTTTGCCTACTCTCCCTGCCCTCCCTAACTCTCCCTCATCTCCTCAGTCCTTAAGGCTTTCTCATCAGATAACTGGCCTACATCCACAACCTCTTCTCTGAATTTCTCTTCTTCCTGTATATGAAACGTGAGGCTCCCCTGAGGACAGTTTTCCCCAAGACCTCTCAAGAGATCTATTTTTACTTGAACAGCACTTAACCATCTCACCTTGTTCCCTTTTCTGCTTGCAACATATCACTCTTCCTTCCTCTTTTAAAACATACCTTCATCACAAAAGACAAATATTGTAATATTTCACTAATATTAAACACTGAGAATAGGCAAATATACAGAGATCAGAGGTTAGCAGTGATTACCACGAGCAGCAGGGAAAGGGAAAGAAGAGAATCTTTGTTTAGCCAACACTGAGTTTCTGTTTATGGAGATGGAAAATATGGCAATGGATGTTGGTCATCACTGTATAACATGATTGAAGTATCCAGACTCATTAAATTGTACAAGTGAAAACTGATGGACTGGCTACTGCTCTGTTACCTACATTTTTACAACAAATAATAATAATTTAAAAAAGCCATCTTGTTCTTCAATGTCAACATCTATGTTAGTGATCCATAAGTGACAGATTCATTGCAAAAATGGCTCCAATTGTCCACTTTTCACTTTATGCATGTCCTTTACAATGTGACTTTCCAATTGCTCCATCGAGAAATGATTTTTATGTCCAAACCAAAAACCACTGCCATCAAGTTGATTATGACACATAGCAACCCCCATTGGATTTCTGAGACAATAAACCTTTACAGAAGTGACTGCTCAGTCTTGCTTCCACAGAGTGGCTGGTGGGTTTGAACCACCAACCTTCTGGTTAGCAGTCAGATGTCTTCAGCACTATACTACCAGAGCTCCTTACATTTATGTCCACACCCCTTTCATCTGGGCTGACTTTGTGGTCCACTTTACAGTAAAATTGAGATGGCAAATTTCTTTCTTGTTTGTTGTTGAGATTATACATACACCAATTCAACCATTTCTACATACACAATTCAGTGACACTGGTTATATTCATTGAGTTGTGCATTCAACTTCACCCTCCTTTTCTGAGTTGTTCCTCCTCCATTAACATAAACTCACTGCCCCTTAAGATTCCTCTCTAATCTTTCAAGTTGCTACTGTCATTTTGATCCTGTATATATACTTCTTAAAAGAGCATAGATTCTCAAGACAGTAATTTCTTAATAGCTAATAGTTAATCAACTATTGTTTGATTTTAAGAAGATTTTGGGTGATATTTTTAGTTTAAGGTTTAAAGATTATCTCAGGGCAATACTTACAAGGGTTCATTCAGCCTCCTTAGCTCCAGAAGGTCTGGAGTCCATGAAAATTTGAAATATTATTCTGAATTTTCCTCCCTTGCATCAGGATTCTTCTATGGAATCTTTGATCAAAAGGTTCACTACCTTAGGAGCTCTGGTAGCATAGTGGCTAAGACACTTGCCTGCTAACCAGAAGGCTGGCAGTTCAAACCCACCAGCCACTCCTCGGAAGGAAGGTTGGGCAATCCTACTTCCGTAGTGATACTGCCTCGGAAACCCAAGGAGGGGTCGCTATGAGTCGGGGCCGACTCGATGGCACATAACAACAACAACAAATGGTAGCCAGGCACCATCCAGTTCTTCTGGTCTTACAGCAAAGGTAATTAGCCACACCTTCCATATCTTCCTCCCCCTGATTTTCCGTCTTCCTCTGTTGCTTCAGATGAATAGAGACCAACTGTCATACCTTGGATGGGACATGGCACATTTCTGAATACAGACCCCTCCATACTTCCCCTTTCTCCTGGCAGAAAGAAGATCACATGGAGCACAGAAAATCCATCCTAGTGAGGCCATCATAGACCTACCAGCTCCCAACTGATTTAGCAGCTGACCACAGAGCTGGGAGCAAGCCCAGCTGAGATTGACTGGCCCAGGTCAGCAAACTCATCGAATCAAGCCACACATGCTTAGTGATAATAAATTGATGTTGTTTAAAACAACTATACTTTGGTGTAATTTGTTACGTAGAAAAAGCTACCAGGCATATGAGGAAAGGATGAGGGAAACTCTGTGATAATGGGCTGCAGTAGCAGGTGGACAAGAGAATGGACAATATAGGGGAATGACTATGTATTCAAATAGATGCTGTGAAAGCAGAGTGAAAAAGAGCACTAAAGTGAATTTTGTTGCTTAGTTCATCCAGAAATCCTTCTTACTCAGAACAAACATTGGGAAACACTGCTCAAATTTTAAGAGAATGTGCTCTGCAAACAACATTTCTGACCAAAAGCTTTCAGTATTAGTAACAGCAACCAAATCAGAATAGAACTTTGTAAAGTAATACCTAATTTTTACCTACTTTTCTAATTTATAAATGTTTTAATGTTTGATATATGTATATATCACATACAAAGCATGCATGTATATTTCATTCATATGAGTGTGTGTGTGTGTGTGTTTTAAAAAAAAAATACAAAAAACCTCACTGCCATTGAGTCGATTCTGACTCATAGTGACCCCTCCTTGGGTTTCTGAGGTGGTATCTCTATGTAAGTAAATTGCCCAGTCTTCATTCCAAAGAGTGGCTGGTGGGTTTGAACAACTAGCCTTCTGGTGAGCAGTCAAATGCCTTA